AGTCCTATCCTAAATGGCTAAATCTATACCCCGATACCAATAACATTAATAATTCTACGGGGCGTGTCATTTTTCCACATCGGTCACCAATATATTCCGCAAAAAAAGTCGTTGGCTTCAAATCAAAAGGATTTTTTTTCAAACGTCTCAAAAGTATTAATTTTTGTCATTTTAACGCCTAGACATAAAAGTAAAGCACTGTTACACCTAAGCACAAAAGTACAAAAATATATTATTAGACTGATATTGAGTGTCAAATTCAACGAGTGTTTAAATTGTTGCTCGATTACTGTTTACATTATTTACAATGTTTGAAATTGATTAAAAAATTAATTGTAATGTTTAAAAAAATAGTATGTTCTGTTTGGGGTAAAAATGTACTTTTTATGCCTCCATGTAACGTCGGAATAGCTTTACGGTACAGCATCGTCAAAAAAGTATAATTTTTTTCTCCTAATAAAACAATACACTACATTATTGTTCGGAAATAGTCTTTAAGTCGAGAATGAAATTAATATGTATTATCAAATGTCAAAGCATAAAGTACAGACTGCAGATCAAAATGTCGGTAGGAATTTGGAAACGGTTGTAGTTTAAAAAAAAATATAAAACAACATATTTTCTGACGATTGTAGATTCTCGGGAATGAAGATATATTTTCTATATAAGCAGAACGTAGTTCTGCATCAGACTTTGCGAATGATATATATTCGAACTTTCGAACAGCGAATTTTTGTCACTTTTACAGTTATTTTTTGATTTATTATAAAGTTTCAATAAAATATTTTTTTTGATTTAAATCACATGATTAAAATTAAAAAAATCACTTGATTTAAATCATGCCAACCCTGCTCAAAAATAATGTCTTTTGTTCATGTAATTATTGCACAGGGTTTTTTAAGATAGGGTAAAAAACAACCCTTCCATTAACTTTGTTTAATAATAAGTTAAATACTAAAGCTTAAAATAAACTCAGTTTAGGAATTAAAGATGATATATGAAAATAGGGCTAAAAATAAAAAAAAACTGTGTGTGCACTATGTGCGCATATTTGAAGTGAAACTTCTTACTAACAGCTATTAAAATGAAGGATTTGAAGGATGTATGAATATTTTTTATGAATGCTTTTTATAAACTTCAAAAAAATTAGAGTTAATATAAGTAAGTAGTCATTCCGGCACTTTGGCTAGACAGTCACTTCCGGTCTAGACACCGAATTCCAGGAACCCAATCAGCTAAGAACATGTAAAATAGGCTAATAAACAAGAATAAACAGGTTTGAATCGCTTTGAACCGCTTTAAAACAGAAATAAACGGGTTTGAACAAAAACTGTACAAGTCTGTTGTTTTACTCTAAAAAGCCGTTCAAACCATTTCAAAAGCGGTTCAAAGCGATTCAAACCTGTTTATTCTTGTTTATTAGTACATGTTCTTAGCTGATTGTGTTAGCCTCGAATTCGGTGTCTGGACCGGAAGTGACTGTCTAGCCAAAGTGCCGGAATGACTACTAATTTAAAGATTACAGTTGAGGGTTGGAACCTTTGGTGTTACACAGCAAAATTTTTATTTTGCTGTGTAAGTAAAAGTAAAATTGTTTTAGTGTATTGTGGCGATTTAGTGTTTTTAAGTAAAAGTAAAAGTGTTTTGGTGTATTGTGGTGATTTAGTGTAGTGTTTTTACACTAAATCACCACAATACCCCAAAACACTTTTACTATTACACTGGACACGTTTAGCTAACCTTGTTAGCATCATCAGCAGATGATTATAAACTAAAGTACAATCTACAAGTTGAGCGTTTATATACTCGCTCAGTGGGCACCGAGTGGGCGTGGCAAAATCTAGCCAACCGAGTCAGAGCCCACTGAGCGTAACGGTTAGATTTCCGCCACTAGAGTAGTAGGAACAAAGAACTTGAAGGAATTGGACCGTTGTCTCTGTTCATACTATCTTAACATTTATTAATTCTGATGCTTTCATATGCATCTAATTGCCTGTAATTTGAGACTTGTTTAATTAATTTTAAATTATTAAGATCTATACAATGTTCTTTATCAACAATATGTTCGGCAACGCAAGATTTATCCGGTTTACCATATCTTATCTGAGCTAAATGTTCTTTAAATCTAGTTAATATTGATTTTCTAGTTTGCCCAACATATTTCTGATTACAATCTTTACAAGAAATTTCATAAATACCCGACCTTTCCAGTGGAGGTGTTTTATCCTTTGGATTACCTAATAATTGTTGTAATTTATTATTAGCACTATACACAAGTTTATAATTTACATTCTTCAAAATTCCTTTTAGACCACGGGATAACTCTCTATCAAACGGCATCGAAAAATATTTAGACGTGTCTTTCTCCACTTGAAAAGTCGAATTTTCAGAAATCATTAACCTATACCTACGTTTTCTAATTAATTTATCAACTAGTGAAGGAGAATATCCATTACACTCAGCTACATTCCTAATGTAATCTCTTTCTATTTCATATCTTTCTTTGGAAAGTGGGAAACTAAGTTATCTATGAACTAGGAAATTTAAACTAGCCATTTTATGTTCAACACTATGATGTGATTCATTAGGAATATATCTGCGTGTGGTCGTATTTTTCCTATAGATATTAAATTCCAGGCAATTATTAATATTTCTAATAACTCATACATCTAGAAATGGTAATCTGTCGTTGTTCTCAATTTCATGCGTAAATTTAATGGAGGAAAACGATTATTTAACTTAGAAATAAAATTATCTATAGTGTCTGAATGTGTGTCAAAAACAGCAAAAATATCATCCACATACCTAAACCATACTCTTGGAAAATACCCAAACTGATTCTTAGCCTCCACTTCAAACCTGCTCATGAATAAATTAGCCAAAAATGGAGACAATGGATTACCCATTTCTGTACCTTCCCGCTGTTCAAAAAAGTTGTTATTAAATTGAAAACAATTTTGTTTCATACATAACGATGTAAGCTCAATATATTCACTCACAGTTTTGTTGTCGAGACCATTTGCGTTCAGTAATTCCTTCAAGTAGCCTAAAGTATGTGGAATTGGAACACTTGGGAACAACGAAGATACATCAAAGGAGACCAATATTTCACCTTCATGCAATGTTATATCTTTAATTTTGTTAATGAATTCAATATTATTTTTAACTGAGAAAGAAGGTTCATGATCAGGTAAATTTTCGAACTCCTTTGATAACCATCTTGCCAAATTATAAGTCGGAGGACCTACAGCCGAAACAATTGGGCGCATAGACTTGTCCAGCCTATGAATTTTTGGCAAAGCATACAATTTTGGTAATGAGGGATTGGATACTTGCAATTTCCTCTTTAAAGAAAGATCAATAAGGGTTTTACATTCTTTTAGTTTTTTTAACGTCTGCTACCATCTTAGACAAAGGATTCTTTTTCAAATTTATGTAGGGGCCATTATCGATTAAGTTGTTAACCTTATCGTAATGGTCTTTTTTATCTAATATAACAACCTTATTTCCCTTATCAGCTTTTAGGTAGAAACAATCTTTGTTACGCAAACTCTTGACAATATTATGCTTCTTGTTAGATTTTAATGATTTACTTGAAACGATATTTTTTGATAACTGATTTCTACAAGCCTCTCTTGCAAATACTTTAGAAGCCTCGGGCAAGTGCTGAATAGCAGTTTCAACACCAACGACGATTTCCTCCAAAGCGCTACCAGAGTTGGGCAATGCAAACTTTAAACCTTTGTTTAATAAACTGAGCTCTTGTTTATCAAAAGTCTGCGAAGAAAGATTCTCTACTATGTTTATGTCTCTTTGGAAAACATGTTTGTTTTTAGAGCTTTTTAATTTTTTAAACTTACTATTCAAAATGGACATTTTTTTAACAAATTTTGAATTGATAACCACAAACATATTTCTCTGAAAGAGACACCAACATTCATACTCTACATTAGTTAGCTTATAAGTAAGTTTTTTGTAAAGTCCATAGGCTTCAATTTCAAGCATACTTCGTTTACTATACAGAAATTTGATTTCTAAATCAAGCCATTTTTGTTTTGTAATTTTCTCTACCTTATCACTAACGTTACTTTTCGGAATATCAACTTTAATAAAACTAGGATAAACTGAATTGGCTTTGCATGATTTAAAAAACCAAATATCTGCTCCTAATAACCTAATCTTAGTACTAAACTTACAATAAAGATTCAGTTCCGTTGTCCGTGAAGCCATCGAAGATTACAGTTGAGGATTGGAACCTTTGGTGTTACACAGCAAAATAAAAACACTAATCACCACAATACACCAAAACACTTTTACTTTTACACTGGACGCGCCTTTCGCTAACCATGTTAGCATCATCAGCAGATGATTATAAACTAAAGTACAATCTACAAGTTGAACGTCTACAAGTTGAGTATATAAACGCTCAACTTGTAGATTGTACTTTAGTTTGTAATCATCTGCTGATGATGCTAACAAGGTTAGCTAAACGTGTCCACTGTAAAAGTAAAAGTGTTTTGGTGTATTGTGGTGATTTAGTGTTAAAACACTACACTAAATCACCACAATACACCAAAACACTTTTACTTTTACTTAGTTTAAAAACACTAAATCACCACAACCACATGGTTAGCGAAACGCGCGTCCAGTGTAAAAGTAAAAGTGTTTTGGTGTATTGTGGTGATTTAGTGTTTTTATTTTGCTACTAATTTAAAACTGTATACTATTTCTAATTTTATAATTATATATTATAATATTTTTTTAACTTTTATTAAAAAACGATAATTCTATCAGTCGACCGGATAACCTGGCAGCTGTGGCCATTAAACCAAAATACTACTACATCTATATCTCTGACTACTACTAACTGTAACTAACTCTGTATTGTGGTGAATTAGTATTTCAATTTGCTGTTGTTACATCAAAGGCTTCAACCAACTATATTTAACACTAACAATGTAGTTTCATTTTTAAATAAGACAAAATATTTTTTGTTACAGGTACAGTGTTCAAACGACAAAGTCAGCACCAGACGTCATAGTGACGCACTGACAAATGTTGAACAATTCCGATTGGGAACCGTACAAAAGAAGACACCCGCGACAATTTCTGAGAACGGAAAGCCACACAGTCGAAACGTCCGTCGATGATTCGAACGAAGGGACTCAAATTTATCTTCACACGTGATAACTTTGTTAATTCTATCATATTTTATCTTGATCATATTTTACCCCAATTTGTTGACAATCTTTAATTGAATATTAAGGAAATATTGTAATACAAAAACATGCAGTCCATTGTTGTATTACGATTTGTTTTTTTGCTGACTGACATACTATAAAGAAAAAAAATCTTTTATAATGTGTAGTCAGCAGATTGTAACTATTTATAAAATAATTTTTATCGATTTCTATTAATTCAGGATCGATTAAATAATATACTTGTTCAAACGTGACCAAGTACACTCTAATTGTTATTAATATAAGTTCTAAAAAATATTTCCTATTGTATTTTAAATTAAAATATGACTAATCTGTTAGTATTATTCATTACGAGGAAAAGACACTTTGGCTTTTTAAATCTGTATTGTTTTTATTATATGAACGACAAGGGCAGGATACTCTTTGTATGTCTGTTTTCTTCATTCTTGAATAAACTTTGTAAAAAATGAACTGCAGTTTTTATTGTTATGTTCAGTTGATTGCCTAATCTCTTCCGATGATATTAATTTTTTTGACAGGTAGTTTGTATACTTAGTACTTAATAGTTACTTAGTATCATATGAGTTTCAAATAAAAATATTTTCAACAAGAATTAGGAATATTTCGACAGATTACATCTAGAAACTTGAAAGAAGAAACAATTTACCTTTGAATTGAAATGCCAGAAACGTAAAACTTTTAACGTAAAGCTAAAATTATATTAATCACAATCATGATTTGTTTTGAGCCATATGCAAACAAAATGTAAACAAACCGATTCTTCATTTACAGGTTAATTTCACCACAGATTTAATATAATCTCTTTAAATAAAAATTACACCACCATTGGCGTAGTTTAAAGATCTTTGTAAAAATTGAGGAAAAGTGTTAAATATAACGGGTGCGTCTGAAAAATGGCTTACCTCTATAACTTTTTTATTTTTTCAGATAAAAGACGAGATTTAGTATTTTAGTACATGACATAAATTAGGAATGGTTGACGTATTCAACAGTTTTTGGTCACTTAGTTTTTAACTGGAAATAATGACATCTTTTGATTTTTAAATGGCACCCTCGGTATATTTTCACTTTATTCGTTATAAAATGATACTGAGTAGAATGACATATTATCATATGTCAACTTTTGACATTTAACATGCGATTGACATCAATCCTAATTTATGTCAGTTACTAACATACCAAATCTCGTTTTTTATTTGAAAATATAAAAAAGTAATAGATCTGAGTCAATTTTAAGATGCACCCGTCGTTGAAAAACATTTAGATATTAGGTACATACAGAAATTAAATGACATGGTATACTATAAGATTTACAGAAAAAATAAATTATAAAAAAACATTATACGAAATGAGTTGAAATAAGTGCATATATTTTTAGGGGAATTTTATGTTTGGGACCATGCATACCCGGGACGTGCATATGGGTTATCACTGGAATATTTTTCTAAAAAAAACATTGCCCCATTGACTTGTTAGTAAAATCTTGTTAGTAAAATTTTGTAGACCGTTTAATGCCGTTTAAAATTTATCTCCTTATGTTTTGTCGATGAGATAAACGCAATTTTATTAATTTGCCTTAGTCCAAGTCAATAAATTACACTAAATATATATTTATTAATTTTATCTTTATTTACAAGTTAAATAACATATACAGGGTGCTACAAATTCGAGGTACGAGCATTGGTATCTCGGAAACCGTAATAGATACGAAGATGGTCAAATTGGGGCAAACTTGCGCCTTGGAATGTTCACCAAGATGCCATCAAAAAAGTTTTAAAATTTTCAAGGATTTCTGAGTTTTTTGAATAAAAACGATTTTTTTAAAAATAAGTTTTATTTTTTCCTGTCGTTACTTTTTAGAAAATTAAAAAACTAACTGAACATTCTCAAAGCCACTTTATTAAGGCTATCTGATACTATTTTTAGATTTTCAAATTGGCTGATAATTTGTGAGATACAGAGGCCAACTCAATTTTCTTTAATATGAACCTGCATTTTTATTTCAGGTTTTGAAAGAACTCGATCTACTAAGTACAATAATATGCCACACTTGATACTTTTTTTTGTTTTGGGTACCTTAACAACAACAAAAGTATTTAATTATTATTTAAAATAATTTCAAGTCCGACTCTGTTTTTTTTAATTACTTAATCTGATTATTTTCGTCATAACAATATTGATCAGCGCTAATTAACATTGAATAAGGATAATCGAGCCAACTGAAAGATTCAAATAAATAATATCCAGGTCAGGAATTTAAAAATATTATTTTTAACTTTTTTTTATTTTGAATTTGAAATCTCAGTGTACGATCTAATAATATGCATAATATTAATCGTAGTTATTATAAATCAATCAACTTCTACAAACTACTTTCTAATGCTCTACATGTTCGAAAGGGTTACCACCGTTCCTAGTGCACAAATTTATTATTCGTTCAATTTTATTTATAGCTCTTTGAACATATCTTTTTCTTATACTGCATTTTGTACTCTTTATTGTAAATGTTGAAAAGTATTGATTTCACAAAATATTATATTCTATATATATGTATATATATATATATATATATATATATATATATATATATATATATATATATATATATATATATATATATATATATATATATATATATATATATATATATATATATATATATTTTATTGCATTTGATGTTCCGTAGTCAATGTTTTACCCCACGTCATTTTAAGATTAAGATTTGAAGGCTTATCAATATTGGAACGATGAACATATTAAATATTTTAAGAAAACAAAGACGGACTTGAAATTAATTTAACTAAATTGTGTTCAAATGTTCGAAACAAAAAAAAATATAAAGTGTGGCATATTATTGTACCCAGGGGCCCAGGAGACCGAGTTCTTTCAAAATCTATAATATAACCACAGCTTACAGAATAACATAGCTTTGACCCTCGCCAATTTTTCCCACGCTCGAATTTAAAACGTCCCACTCCGACGATGCGCTAACTGAATTAAGCGACCGACAGTCAGCCTCATTCAGTCGATGCATAGCCTCCACGGTGGCGCGTAGAGCCGTATTACGGAAGATTTTAATTCGATTTTTTTTCTTATATTTAACCATAGGTATTTGTGCTTTTATTTCAATTTTATTTTTATTGATGGAATGGGAAAAGGTGTTCCGGGATGTGCGGCTGCTGGTTGCACAAATAATTATGGAAATAATTCAAAATATAGTCTGTTTGATTTTCAATTCAATTCAAAATTAATGTTCAATTCAAAAGTATATTCACACTTTAGTGCTTTTCAAAACGATGAAGACTACTTATTTGGAGGCTTGCTAATGCCAAGTGACCATTTTTTTATTTAGTTTCCTCATTGGAGGCTAGTTTTATAAGCTTTTATTTAACTTGCTTTGTATGTAACTATCTATGTATGTATGTATGTTTGTTCGGGGCAAATCTTGTAAGCTAAATTAAAACCACTTTCTTTTATTGTAGGAGATTGAAATTTGGCATGTAGGTTCAGTCCCGATGATAATACATTTTTTTGCAAGGCATGACCCGAATTTTTGACAGCTGTCAAAATGGCGGCGTTTTTGAGGTTTTTGATTTTTTAAAATTCTATTTATGAATGGATCGGGCTGAAATTATATATATATATATATATATATATATATATATATATATATATATATATATATATATATATATATATATATATATATATATATATATATATATTAATAAATAATATTTTCTTGCCTTTTAGCTGTGTATTTTTTCTAATTTCGAAAAATCGAAAGTAGAGAAAAAGATTTAAAAAATAAAAAAGTAAAAAGAAAATTGTTTTGCTTGTCGTAAAGGGGGGAACCAAGCTCCACTCCCACAACCGGTTTCTGGGCCTACCCTTCATCAGGTGGGCTGTCCAGGGCTGGTTCTCACCGATACGGCAAGCAAAACTTCTTCTATATCTGCAGACGATGTCGTAAAGTGTCGGTGAGATATTAGTGCATCTCCCGTCAAAAGATGGTAAAGAGCGTTTTTCGGCCCGCTCAAATATATGAAATGAACAAAATTCTTACAGCTTTAGTGTATATTAATAAATAATATTTTCTTGCCTTTAGCTGTGTATTTTTTCTAATTTCGAAAAATCGAAAGTAGAGAAAAAATTAAAAAAAATAAAATAAAATAATATATGAAAAAATCGATATATTGGATGCCCCCTACCCCATAGTCGGTTTTCATTTTATTTGTCTCACATTTGAACTGTCAAATTTGACAGCTGTCGTTTTTTTTAAGTTCTCCTTTTTTAATGAAAATCGATATACATATTATTAGGATACCCATAGAAAGTTATTTAAGAAAAAAATTGAGTTTAAGTGTGTGGCACTGAGAAACAAGCATAACTAAAAAGTAGATGATAAATTTTATAAAAAAACCTTTTTTAAAAACAAGCTTTTATTTAAATACACTAAAAAGAATAAAATAAACTCTTTTTCTTTAAAACTTTTATTATAAACTTAGAACGTCATTACACAATTTTAATATTAGATATATAAAAGCTTGTCGCGAGATTTCTCTACATCGATAAACAAGTAAATTAACTAAAACCTGTGTCTACCCTGTCTCATTCTCAAAGTTTCTGTTATGATAGACCACTAGACCAGGAATTACAAGATAAAGTTGTCGTACCAGATTTTTATGAGTGCAAATGTACACTCAAATCTCGCGACAAGCTTTTATATAATATTAAAATTGTGTAATGACGTTATAAGTTCATAATAAAAGTTCTAAAGAAAAAGTTTATTTTATTCTTTTTAGTGTATTTAAATAAAAACTTGTTTTTAAAAAAGTTTTTTTATAAAATTTTTCAGAACAATTTTGAAGAACTTTTCTTAAATGAAAATATATTATGTAAATTCGTTAAATTATTTCAGACAATTAAATTCAACCATCAATCAAAATTTTCCTATAATGTATTTTTTGTTAAATTTATACGCAAAAGTTAGAAATTATTATACCTTAAAGAATATTACTAAGAACTTAAATGTAGCAAACAAAAACCGAAAGCTCCTAATTTAGAAACATTCGTAAATAACTATAAGTAATCAATGTACTTATTTCATTTTCTGTTATTTCTAGAAATAAATTAATTAATTTGTTTTTTAAATGTTTTTCTTTGAGAATGCATATTTATTTAAAGTCAACAATTTAAAAAACGTGTATATAAATTATGTTCTAGCACCAGTCGAATAATTTTTTACGTCACGTGTAAAATTTTTTTGAATACATCTCTGGGCTGACTAGCGCTTACGCGGCTATTGGTTTTGGCGAGAGAGCTCGCCGCTCTAGTGTTCCCCCTCTTTCGAATCGCAAATCCGAGCGTACAAAGATCAAAGCGGCACGCTACACTGTCCTAGCTGGTTTTT